TTATTTATGATTATTTATTTATGATTAAGGAAAATACCCAATTATTCCAAGACAAAAAATTATATAAAGAGCCATCTTCCCACACACTAAAAGTTAATACATACGACCAATGTATCAGTAACTAGCATACTAAACGTGCGCAACGTTTAAACGTGGTACAAATGAGAGTATTTTGGCAACTTCTTTATATTGGAAGTGTTACGTTAACTGTTACATAAGAACTACGCTATTTTTTATTTGTATTCATTTTTATACAAAAATTGTTTTCATTTTATTTATGACGCCGTTCATGGATTTCTAGCGTGAGTGTTGATTCTTTTTTAGGGTACTTGTGTAATAATAGGGAATATTTTGAGACGTTATTTGGTGATGTGTTTTTAAATTCAACTACGGTTTTGAGATTCAAAGCTGACCATTACAACGACGACCTCATTTTTGAAGTCAGTTAAAAATATTTATTAGGTATGTTACGCAATATTTATAGATCAAATTCACTATATTATTTTAATATTAGCTATAATTGTATATTTATATTCCTTCCCTGGACTTCCACGAACATTTTTGCGACCAAAATAAGCCAAATTGATTCAGTAGTACTCGAGTTATACCGAGACTAACGAACGGAAATTAATTTTTATTGATATAGATAATAATAATAATAGTTTTCAACAAAACTTGAACGAATATTATTTTACCCATTCATCCTCAACCATCACCGGTGACCGCTCTCCACTAACTACATTATAGACCTTATTTCCAATGTTTAGAGACTACTTTTGTATAAACAAATTTAGGTGATGGTTTTCAACGGGTTAAAGATCTTTGACTACCAATAGAAAACTACTGAAGGCAAATCCTCTAACGTCGGTCACCGATGACCCTCATGGCGATTAATGTGTCAAAGGTGGCTTTAGAAATGTAATAAATGTAACTTTGAAGGCCAAAATACCAATTACAGAGTTCCTTTATAAACCTCTTTAAAATATTCTCCATTACTAACACAAGACCCTTACATCAGTTTTTTTTAGCGACACAATTTTATAGAAATTACACTTCAAATTGTGTATCAACAACTTTTTATTTGAAACAGCAGTCTTTAACCTTTATATTTATGTATTTATTTATAACATTTTCACTTATCATTTAACAGTTAAAAATCGGCGTTATTTATCAAGCATCCTACTTATTTTCTTTTAATAAATTATCACGTATTTTAACACTACAAAATATATCTAATTTGTATCTGTACCATAGAAAATTGGTGTTCAATCGAGACTGGACATTTCACTAAATATAAGCATTTGTAAAAATAATAAATTTATTCAAAATTCTCGTTGGCTGCGTGACATCATTCACCGCGCTTACTGCTTATGATTGTGAGCCCTAATCATAGTCTGAAACTAGTCGAACTGCGTCGAATCGATTCGTGATAAAGTTGTGTAGTTTTATAAATATACTCAGAAAAATCGGTTTTTTTTTTTAAACTTTGCCCTACACTGGGATTATCTCCTGTGTCGTGAGTGCGTTTACAAACATACAAGTTCACATACACATGACACCCAGACCCGGAACAACAATATGTGGATCACACAAAGTGTTGTTCCGTGCGGGAATCGAACCGGCGACACGTTGCACGGCAGCCGGTTGCCCAGCCACCGCACCAACCGTGCAGTCATGTGTAATTCAAAGAGCTATATTGAAATTGTTTTACATTTTTTACATATTTTCCTAGTTGTTAGTGTAGCCAGGATTTCCCAGAATTAACGCTTGATTATATTCTATATTTCTACTCTTACCTATGATTGTAAAAGGCAAGACATAAGCATTTATAAAAGAAAACTATTACATTTTCAAATCCAGTTACAATTAAACACCTACAAAACAAAATATAAATTGTATCGCTAAAAAATATTCACATTTATCACGCTGGTATCGACCAATGGGCTCATAATATCATACAAATACGATACCTAACTGAGTATTTACTTACAAAACTTCATATTTTGAGCAATGCACTACGTGTGTCCTATGTACAATACATACATACATTGTCTATATACAATCGGTGTTTGTATCTGAAACAATGGAAAAAGGACATTAAATTATTGTGGGTTAAGGACTATTTTCTATTAATTTTTGGTAGTGGAAGTTTAGGGAAGCTAACAGCCAGATAGTTTTTTTTATATATTTGATATACTATCTCGCCTGGTGGTAAGCGATCATGCGGTCTACGATGGAGGATGTCGTTCCTTAAGCAATCTATTCACTCGGGCCTTGAAGACACCCAGGTCATACAGAAACTCTTCAGGAAATGCAGACTCTGGCAAATAATTCCATTCCTAAGCAGTACGCTTGAAGTTTGATGCGAAGCGCTTCTTGCGTGTGGGTGGGACATCTACCATAAATCGGTAAGTTAGTAAATTGCAACTGTAATTGCAGTTTATTAACGGGTTATGTCATATTCTATAGTTCTACACGTTTAGCAAGCGGGTTCGAGATGGTAATTACCTAAATAGAATTTATCAGAGAACATTGTCCGATCACTATTAAATGAAAGCTATTAAATTGATTATATATAGATATAGTTGGTTGTCTAATGTTGCTTGTAGCATTCACATTCAATATTAAGCAAAATATAAATGTCTTAAATTTAATCAATCTCTTTTTAACAATCCCCTAAAAGTCATATCGCAATATTTGACAGTTAAAAGTTTAGGATTATTTGAACATGAGAGTTATGGACAAATCTGACAAGCTTGCTATGGTTCTCAATGCTTGATTTAGCAACTAATAGCTAGCTTTTCATAGTAAGTTGATAGTTCACACAGGGATTTTCCCATATTATTTTTATATAGTAATAAACCCAGCATAGTGACCGTGTCAGTGGTGGCGGGGCCGCTTGTGGTGCGGCAGCGGCGCGGCGTGGTGTCCGAGCGTGACGAGCGCGGAGGCGACGGCCAGCCCGCCCAGCGGCGGCGCGCGCCCCGTGCCGCCCGTCGGCAGCCGCACCAGCAGCGACAGCACGGCCGCGCGGCCCCCGCGGCACGGCTCCAGCGCCACCGGCGCCGGCACGCCCGCGCCTGGGGACAAGCACTCGTCGTACACAAACATTCTATTGTGATGATCGCATTCATATCACTAACCTTTAAAATATAATTTAAATAGACACTAGAAATTACTATAACTACCATACTCTAATTATTTTGCAAAACAAAAGTAAAACACTATATTCACATAGTTACTTAGGTTTAACTTATAATCTAACCATCACTGTAGTACAGGGATATTCTTATACTACTATTATGCTTTTATGCTTCTTACTAAAATTGTAAATGTGAAACTCTGTGTTTCCGTTCCATTGTGAAACTGTATGTTTACACATCGGGTCAACGTGTAGAAGCCTACTTGACGCAATGTCGTCACATTTTATTCAAATGTACAGAAAAAACATTTACAATACACTACATTAGCCCAACGCACAATACAAATTAAGCCCATTAACTATTTAATATTTTGACAACCGGCGACAAAGTTCACAATTCATAAAAACGCTTTAATTTTTGACATTCGAATGTTCAAAAATAGTTCCAACTTTGCATAGATTACAGTTGAAATTGCAATACGCTTACCGGCACCTCCCTTCTCCAGCTCAACGGACACCTGGCTGAAGGGCCGCGATGCCATCTGCTCCATCTCCACGAACAGACGCTGCCGTCTTCTATACATATCATATTTCTGCGCCAACCATAACATAGATTAATACAAGTACATATCATTTTTATTCGACTTGAGACTGACTTATATTTCTAACTAGATGACCCGGCGGCAAATTTCATACCGCTTAAAAATATTTGCACACCTTTTTAACCTGTCCTGGACTTCCAAGAATAGTTCAATATCAAAATTAATCAAATCAGTTCAGTCGTTATCGAGTTTTAGCGAGACTAACAAAGGGAAATTTCTTTTTTATTTATATTGATAGATTAATGATAAATCTGCCACAGTTTAGCGGAACAAATTAATAACCGATCTAATCCAACATCTTTAAGTTTTAGAAAAAAACTTCATACGCAACATTGAAGTTTGTTCGAACAGTTTCAAGCTTCGTGAGGGGCCCATAGTGATGAGCAACATGGTCAACGCTCCCTACGTCGGTTATTATCATCATAATCATCATAAGTTAGCCGTATATTAGAGGTTACCGGAGGCCCAATTACCCCCCTTACCAATCTCCCTAACAATCCTCAAATTCCTAATTCCCAAAAGGCCGGTAACCCACTTGTAACGTCACTGCGATATGTATGGGCGACGATAATTGCTTACCATCAGGCGATCCGTCAGCTCGTTTACCGGCTGATCCCATAAAGAAATAACTCAACCAAATTAGGCATATAGTCTTAAAAACCTAAAAAAATAAGTTACAAACCTGTTTAATCTTCCACAATGCTGCAGCTACCAACAATAGTAGCAGGAAACACGATGAGAATGTAATGAAGAACTGTTGTAAATTTAACTTGGGGTACTGTGAGAACGATATCTGTATCCACAATGGCGGCCTGAAGTCGTACACGTACACGAAGAACGTCGTAAGCGTCACGTTGTCCTCTACGCCGAATGCGTGCTCTGACTTCGCGAATCTGCGGGGAATAGGGTTTAATTTAGTATGGCAGCGAGGAAAAAGATAAATATACTATATTTTATCGTATAGTATATATTTTATCGTATAGAGGTATAATTATAGTATGATTAAATCATATTTTGTGTCTAGAGTTGGAAGGTTTGAAAGCAATATATCATAACATAACATCACGCCTTTTATCCCCGAAGGGGTAGGCAAAGGTGCACATTATGCCACTGTACAATGTAACACCCACTTTTTACTATTTATGTTATGAGTCCCAAGTAATAGGGGGTGAGCCTATTGCCATATACTGGGCACAATTCTAGACTCCGTGATACTACTGAGATTTTTTTTAAAACCCAGTAATACTTTGCCCGACCCGGGAATCGAACCCGAGACCCCTTGCCCGGCAGTCACACTTGTGACCACTCGGCCAACAAGTCAGCAATATATCAAGGTTATACATTTTTCTTTCACTACACGAGCGAAACCGAGAGTTTCTGTCAAAAAGGTGTATTTTAACCCTTTGAATGGCGAAAGGAGACTACCTTGTCACTCTTGTCCCCATTGGCGTTAAATACACATAACATCACGCCGTTTATCAACGAAGGGATAGGCAGAGGTGCACATAACGGCACTTAAATAAATATAATTTTTAAACGTTTCCCCTCGCCCCTCTTCTACATCGTTGACATGTCTACAAACTGTTATAACGACGTCTACTACCTAGACGTTAACTTCACGCCTGTCTCCCACGGGGATAGGCAGAGACTATGATGGAACGCCAATTACTACGATTCCTATATACCTCTTTCGCTTCATCAACATCTTTTGATGTATGCTCGTCGATTAAGGGTCCTTTAAATTAGAAATATACTTACTTAAATCTAAAACTAGTACAATTAACATCGGAGAACAGCAGTCTTTCAGTGGGATCACTCCTCGTCCGGACAGAAAGATTCATCCGTGCATGCGCAGAGCATGTTATACTAAAGTCCGCGTCAACGTCTGGTTTGACGGGAGCATTCCGGAAATTTATTGCTGAGAGGTGCCTGTCCTCTTTCTTGGATAGGTTGAAGGTAAACTGGTAGTCCACTGCCAGGTCATCTGTGGGGGGAAAGATAGAAATCAATCAAAATGTGGGTCAAAAGTTAGATCATGCAAAAATAATTTTCAATTAATTAAGCGCGATTAGTACTTTAGTTATTTTCATAGTGCCATGTCATATGGCCTTCAGAGCGGGTCCGCTCAAACTGTTGTGGTTCTTTCCTCAAAAGGCCACTACAGAAAGAACTTGCACGGTTCTCACACATAACCTGTTGTACATATTGTCTGGACTTAAAAAGAGACAGACGTCTGAGTTTGTTTCGATATTTCTTCTCAGAGTAGTCAGTTAGGAAATGTCGACCTCATCGTTCGCTTGATAAAATTGACGTGTAAAAGTGCTGCCTTGTAGCCTATTTGCAGAAATAAATTCACTTGTTTTATTTGTTTAAAAAACTGTCTTTAAACTGTCAAACACCAAGCGGTCACCGGTGACCGCAACCTATTGTTCTATAATTGTGTCTATAAAACCGGTAATTTGTATCTAAAATAATTAACCGCCATTTTTGAAATCGGTTTATACAGGATGATTTGTAAAGCGATCATAATCTCGTACGATCAATGCCAACATTTTTGTCAAACAAAAGGGATAAGCGGACTTTAACGGTTATTAAAAAAATATTTAACTTTTAGTTTTCAATTCAAAATGACGCCCACGGTAACTCTAAAACTAAAAAAACAACAACGGAAGAAACGCACTTGACCTAAATTTCTTAGCTAAGATTATATATCCTTACTAATATTATAAATCGGAAAGTGAGTTTGTTTGTTTGTTTGTTCCGCTTTCAGGCCATAACTACTAAACCGATTGCTTTGAATTTTTGCAGATGTATAGTTAGAAGTCCGGATTAAATAAAAGGGTACTTTTATCCCGGAAAAAATTGATGTTCCTGACGGAAAACAAAAGTATTGGTATAGATGGCGCTGTGTATATTGGTATATGTCACATTGGCTTTTTATCCTTTTGTGACGCGAGCGAAGCCGTGGGTAAAAGCTAGTAATAATATAACTTAGAGGCGGTATAAACCTAGATAGCGCCCTAGGCAACGTCACGGCACGGCACGCCATAGGCGTCCCCTTGTTTTTGCGCCGCCGTTACTCTATGAACATTTGAGCACGCGCGTCTTACGGCGCCCATCTGTAACTCTCTCTTCTGGCGCTCTCAGTACTTATTTAGTTTACCTTAAGGATATACTTTCTATTTAAACTGTCAAACACCAAGCGGTCACCGGTGACCGCAACCTATTGTTCTATAATTGTGTCTACAAAGAAGGTACTCGACGAGTTAAAAAAAAATAGATGTGTGACGATCTGTGTCGTGTGTGCGTTTACGAACATACAAGTTCACATACACATGACATCCAGACCAAAAACAACAATTTGTGGATCGCACTCCGTACGGGAATCGAGCCCGCGACACGTTGTCCAGTCACTGCGGCAACCGTGCAGACAAATTCAGCTGCGACATGAGTGTACTTACAGTAGCAGGCGCCCTTGTTGTGTAGGTCTGCGTGGTAGTGGTTGGTATTGTCGCACTTGTCGCAGCGGTCCCCGGCCAGCCCCTTCGTGCTGCAGTAGCAGCGCCCAGTGAGTGTACTTACAGTAGCAGGCGCCCTTGTTGTGTAGGTCTGCGTGGTAGTGGTTGGTATTGTCGCACTTGTCGCAGCGGTCCCCGGCCAGCCCCTTCGTGCTGCAGTAGCAGCGCCCAGTGAGTGTACTTACAGTAGCAGGCGCCCTTGTTGTGTAGGTCTGCGTGGTAGTGGTTGGTATTGTCGCACTTGTCGCAGCGGTCCCCGGCCAGCCCCTTCGTGCTGCAGTAGCAGCGCCCAGTGAGTGTACTTACAGTAGCAGGCGCCCTTGTTGTGTAGGTCTGCGTGGTAGTGGTTGGTATTGTCGCACTTGTCGCAGCGGTCCCCGGCCAGCCCCTTCGTGCTGCAGTAGCAGCGCCCAGTGAGTGTACTTACAGTAGCAGGCGCCCTTGTTGTGTAGGTCTGCGTGGTAGTGGTTGGTATTGTCGCACTTGTCGCAGCGGTCCCCGGCCAGCCCCTTCGTGCTGCAGTAGCAGCGCCCAGTGAGTGTACTTACAGTAGCAGGCGCCCTTGTTGTGTAGGTCTGCGTGGTAGTGGTTGGTATTGTCGCACTTGTCGCAGCGGTCCCCGGCCAGCCCCTTCGTGCTGCAGTAGCAGCGCCCAGTGAGTGTACTTACAGTAGCAGGCGCCCTTGTTGTGTAGGTCTGCGTGGTAGTGGTTGGTATTGTCGCACTTGTCGCAGCGGTCCCCGGCCAGCCCCTTCGTGCTGCAGTAGCAGCGCCCAGTGAGTGTACTTACAGTAGCAGGCGCCCTTGTTGTGTAGGTCTGCGTGGTAGTGGTTGGTATTGTCGCACTTGTCGCAGCGGTCCCCGGCCAGCCCCTTCGTGCTGCAGTAGCAGCGCCCAGTGAGTGTACTTACAGTAGCAGGCGCCCTTGTTGTGTAGGTCTGCGTGGTAGTGGTTGGTATTGTCGCACTTGTCGCAGCGGTCCCCGGCCAGCCCCTTCGTGCTGCAGTAGCAGCGCCCAGTGAGTGTACTTACAGTAGCAGGCGCCCTTGTTGTGTAGGTCTGCGTGGTAGTGGTTGGTATTGTCGCACTTGTCGCAGCGGTCCCCGGCCAGCCCCTTCGTGCTGCAGTAGCAGCGCCCAGTGAGTGTACTTACAGTAGCAGGCGCCCTTGTTGATAGATAGCGCCCTAGGCAACGTCACGGCACGGCACGCCATAGGCGTCCCCTTGTTTTTGCGCCGCCGTTACTCTATGAACATTTGAGCACGCGCGTCTTACGGCGCCCATCTGTAACTCTCTCTTCTGGCGCTCTCAGTACTTATTTAGTTTACCTTAAGGATATACTTTCTATTTAAACTGTCAAACACCAAGCGGTCACCGGTGACCGCAACCTATTGTTCTATAATTGTGTCTACAAAGAAGGTACTCGACGAGTTAAAAAAAAATAGATGTGTGACGATCTGTGTCGTGTGTGCGTTTACGAACATACAAGTTCACATACACATGACATCCAGACCAAAAACAACAATTTGTGGATCGCACTCCGTACGGGAATCGAGCCCGCGACACGTTGTCCAGTCACTGCGGCAACCGTGCAGACAAATTCAGCTGCGACATGAGTGTACTTACAGTAGCAGGCGCCCTTGTTGTGTAGGTCTGCGTGGTAGTGGTTGGTATTGTCGCACTTGTCGCAGCGGTCCCCGGCCAGCCCCTTCGTGCTGCAGTAGCAGCGCCCAGTGTCCGGCGCGCACGCTACAGCTTGCGCGTTGCATTCGCACGCTGGAATGATAGAAAAAGTGTTATTATGTATTTTTATTTATATATATTTGTTGGGCCGATGTATGGCCATTATCTGTACGCCTGACGGTAAGCGATGACGCAGTTTATGATGGAGCACGTCGTCAAGACACCCAGGTGTAAATATAGTATATCGATCTTTGCACATTTATGCCTACACCTTGCTTTCAATGCGCTTTTTACGCATAGACTTCGAGACAGGCCGTAATATTATTTATGGGTGAGCCGGGAAACAAGCTGACGGATCACCTGACGGATCACGGTAAGTTTTCGGCGTCGCCCATGGACACCTGGAACACCAGAGGCGTTACAAGTGCTTTACCGGTCTTTTGAAGAATAGAAATTTGAACATTGTTGGGAATTCAGGGATTGGGGAGATTGAGGAAGAGGGAGGGGGTAATTGTGCCTCATGTAATCTCACTCACATGACGAAACACAATGCAAGCGTTGTTTCACGTCGGTTTTCTGCTCGGCTGTGGTATATATCCGTTTGACCCGGCTTTGAAGCTAAAAATAGGAGCAAACGAATGAAAAGTACAGTGTATACGTACGTTGGCAGACGCCCCCGTTGTAGGGCTGCCCCCAGTGCCCCGGCGCGCACTGGTCGCAGTGGTCGCCGACGGTGCGGCCGGCGCAGGGCTGCACGCAGCGCCCCGACGCCGCGCACACGCTGTGGCCGTTGCACTGGCACACCGGACACGCCGTGAAGTGCCATCTACGGGGTACGGTGGGATGGTCTTGTATTATAACGGATCTTTTGGAGAGGGGGGGGATCATAGAATGACTTCTCCCGCCCAGGTGAGGCGAGAGGTGTCAGACTCTTATTGACTAAAAACCACCCCGTTCCTACTTCTGTACTTCGAGCCGGAGCCCCGACAACCCGTTAAGCGTTTCGCGGCTCGGACTATAACGGGTAGAAGAAGTAATGCGAAGTGTGAAGTTTGTTAAAGAGATTTCAGTCTTATTTGCAACTACGTCTAGCTGCAACTTTTACAAGTTTTAGTTCAGGTTCGATTCTCATGCACAAGCGAATTTTTAAAAATCTTAGAGTGCAGTTTTCTTTCTTTTCAAAATTAAAGGAATATTTTCTTTGAGTAAAATTGTCTATCTTAAGTATTAATAGTACTTCTCCCTTCGGTGGCATTACAAAATTCCACCCTGTATATAAAAATGAATCCCTTTTTCCCTTGGTCACGGCATCATGCATGAATAGCGGGACCAATTCCACTATGTTTTTTTTTTGTTGCATTTGTTGTTATTAGGATAAGATTCTTAAGACAGAAAAAATATCTTACGGGAACGAGAGAAAACGGCATTGCGTGAACGAAGTCGCGGACAGAAGCTAATCTCAAATGAAATTAGCTATGGCAGTCAAAAGTCACCTGTGCTGCGCGCAGACGCGCGGCGCGTGCGGGCTGCGCGCGCCGCCGGGCAGACAGAGCCCGCGGCCCGTGCCGGCGCCGTCGTCGCACCAGCCGCACGCCGGCTC